AGTCTAAATCAAATAGAACACCTGCAATAAATACTGTTCATAACAATATTGAAGTTATTAAGTTCAAATGTCACATATAATTATTATTATTTTAAGATGAAAGGTCACACTACAAATTAGATTCCTATTTATCAACTCTTCACATATTATTTAGAGATTATGCTTCCCTTTTGTCACAATGTGTCCATGTTCTTTTTTATTCTGTATGTTGTCCCATTTTCTGTATGTATTTTAACTCTCGTCTGTTTTTAAGTGAAAGTATAAAATAAGCCATGTCCTTATAGTAGCAATTTAAATATATTTACTCAGTCTTGGGTAGGAAAGAAAAAAGTGGAAATGACTTATCAATATGATGTCCCCACACAGAAGCTGAGGTCTCAGCAATTGGATAAAAGAATTACAGACAGACCTGGATTCTAATCTGTTTTCTTCCACTTATTATTTGTATACTTTAGACAAGTTACTTGCCTTCTCAAAATTTCAGTTTTCTCCTTTTGAAAAATGGAGCCAAAAGAAGATTGTTTAAGAGTTACATTCATTCTTAAATGTAAAGATTCAGTCCAGGGTTTGGCATGCTCTATTACTACTACTACTGTTAAGGTGAATGAATTAAAGATGCATGCTACTTTCTGTAAATCTAGAGTTGCAGGCTATGTTGAAGGGTAACTTGTCTCATGGCCTATTTTATTTAGCAAGGAACTGAAGGTGGTAGATTAGAAGCTAGATGAAAATTGCTGACTGTCTATAGCTGCCCTGGAGAATAGGAGAAGGAAAACATGAGAGTCAAGAAAAGACTTTCCAAGTAACAGTGACATCCTTAGCCATATACTTGCTTCATCTGACTCTTCTGCTAATAGGAATGTGGTTTCCAGCAAATAAGAATGAAAAATTATTAGCTTGTTAACAATTAAGTTTAAAGCATGGAGTTATCAAGAGTTTGTAACTTTCTGATAACATCATGTTATTTCTGTGAGATATATTTCACAGGAAAATTTTGTTTTATATATAACATGTCTTCTTTTACTCCAACATATATATCTTAAGATGTTTTCTACCTCCCAGGAATTTGAATATGTAAAAGTTTCTTTTTCTTTATGTATTTTGGTTTTACTTTAGGTTTCTGTCATTTGATTTTTTAAAAACCCTATGTTTTTATCAGTAGGAGTTTATGCAGCAAAATAAGTTACCATTTTGAAAATTTCCATGTAAACTGTTCATTATATTGTTTAATTTTTTTCACAGTGTGTTGAAAGTCTACTTGTATTGTGGATCATCTGTTTCTAGTATTTTAGTTTCCTATTTAGTAACTCTTTTATATATTTCTGATGAAAGTTTAGTAACCTTTCATATTCTCATCTGTGCTTTAGAGTATTGACTTTTGGTTTCATATAGATAGGTTGTTTTTGAAATTATGGTAGTGTACACACACGTAATATCCTTTATTTTGTATACAATCTCTCATTTAGCTAAAAGATGAGTGAGATAGTTTTGGTTCACAGTTTAAAGAGTATGTAAGAGTAAAAGAATATCTAAGGGACATGTTGTCAAGAGGGATTAGTTCTTGGAAAAATATATCACACGGGTAAAACTGGAGGTAAAACAGAGAAAGAGAAGATGATGATCAGCAAAGTGGATTGACATAATGACTGTAACCAAAGACTCAAGAATATAGGAGATTGTGTGGATGACACAGAATAGGATGAGGTTCAAATCTCTTTATAGGGCCAATATGAGTCATAGTCAGAGGCACCAAACAACAACCCAAAGGGCCGCCTGTACAACTTAGAGTGTCTGAAAAGCATGCCTAAAGAATAGCTGTCAATTCTGACTCAACAATGAGTTTGAGTGTTGTATAGTGTTAGTCTCAGATAAACATATAATCTCAACTGAGTAAATATGTCAATTTTCTCCCAATTTGTTATAGTCTGCCTAGTGTGGTCCCATCCTCCACATTTAAGAGGTCATATGTAGTGGTGAACAATTTTACAGTTTGTTAAGGATATCTTTTGCCCCAAAGCAAAATTTTAAGGGGTTTGAAGGTATTGCCATTTTTCAGAATAAAAAAAACAGATTGAAGAAAGTGAACTGTGTGCCTGAGGCCACATGACTATTATAGATCTAGCATAAGAGCCAACAATTCTGATGTGAAAACCTAACTACGTTTTATTAATGATTCTGCTTCCAAGGGTTTATGATCTAGAAGCAGGAATTGTTAATAATTTTTATAGAAATGAGCAGTAAGATACTCAGAAGTCCAAACTGATTAATAAAAGACCATCTTTGATTTTTATGTTGAAAGAATGTGTAACTTGACTTTTGTACCAGATGGGCAAAATATCTTTTCTCTTAATGTTTGGATAGTACAGAAACAAATTTTTTCATACTGAATATCTGGAAAATTAGTTTACCTAGGGGGAAAAAAAAATCATTGGTGAAAGACTGAAAGTTGGAATTTTTTTTTATACTTTAAAGACAAGAAGTCAGAATAAATATATCAATACAGACAAGCAGAACAACTGTGGGAGAAACTGA